TGCTCATGCTCTGTCTTTCTCTCTCAAAAACTAAATAATAAAACATTTTTTTAAAAACCCAAAGATTTTGTAACTTCTCTTAAGAAACAAAAAACATAAAAATAAGAAACAAAAACAATAAAAAATTGCCCTGTGCCCCCACAAAATCACGGGGTCTCAGGCACTCACACCTCATGTTTCTTGAGCACCTTTTTGCTCTCGGGGCTGACACGGAAGCCAGTCTGTGGACTCAGAGCTGGGTCTAGCTGGAGATGGCCGGCCACCAGGAAGTAAGCACTGAACTCAACAGAAGCAAATGTTAAGCTGGAAGAGATGAGGGAAGTGAAAACATGTTAGAATGGTTCCTTATTTGAAGTTCAACAGGTATATTTTGTTTTCTCAATAAATCCTTCAATTGTCTCTAGGCAAGGATTATTTAGGCTACTTTGTATCATTTCTATTTTTTCATACTTTGTATTTGTGCTTTGTGTTTTTTTGTATTTGTAGGGTAAAAGTAAATATTTGAATTGGAATGTAACAGAACAGACAAATGAGTCCCAGGTGCCCAGGCCTCTTCTCCCAACTTTTCCACCTAAGCTCAGAGGCCTGCGAGCAGGTAAGTAAGCTCGCTGGGGACACCTGAGGCCCCTGTGATTTTGTGGGATTCAGGACAATGTTGCCAGACTTTCTATTTTTGTTTTTTTCAGGGGAGGTTGTACTTTGTTTTAAAATATTGACAAGTTGGGGCGCCTGGGTGGCTTAGTCGGTTAAGTGTCCGACTTTCGCTTGGGTCATGATCTCGCGGTTCGTGGGTTCGAGCCCCGCGTCGGGCTCTGTGCTGACTGTCGGCTCAGAGCCTGGAGCCTGTTACAGTCTGTGACTCCCTCTCTCTCTCTGACCCTCCCCTGCTCACGCTGTCTCTCTCTCTCTCCTAGAAATAAAAAAAAAATTAAAAAATAAAATAAAATATTGACAAGTGACTAAAAAACAATCTTGGGACAGTAAGCGTATATACCAGGGGCACCCGAGTGGCTCAGTCAGTTAAGCGTCCGACTCTTCGTGTTGGCTCAGGTCACGATCTCACAGTTCGACTCCCTTATCAGGCTCTGTGATAACAGTGCAGAGCCTGTTTGGGATTCTCTCTGTCTCCCCCTCTCTCTCTGTCCCTGCCCCACTCGTGCTGTCTCTCTCTCTCAAAATAATCTAAAAAAAAAAAAAAAACCGCCCCCACTGGCTAGCTCTGTCTTTCTCTCTGTCTCTCTCAAATAGATAAACAGTAAAAACCCACCCCCAAAACAGCCATCCTCAGTGTTGGTCTTGTGTCCCTAAAGAGCTTTCAGAGAGAAGGGGTTACTCCTGCCCTCCCAAGAGGGCTGGTCTCTCTAGGGACTGGTGGTGGCACACAGGCCCCCCCACCCCGAGGCATATTTATAGCCCCGCGTTTGGAGGGGAAGCCCCTTTGCTCAGACCTCAGAGTAGGATGCGATGCAGGTGATGAAACACCCAGCCCACGGGGCCAGAGGAAGATATTTTAAGTCGGGGGACCTTTCGGTGCCCCCGAATGACATACCATCAGCACTCATTATCTAGGAGGACACACGCTGCCAAACAGGAAGGTGTCACTGATCACAGCAGAGTGGGAGGGAGCCCAGGAGGAGGGAGAGGTCTGCCTTTGACATGTCACTGCCATGAACCGAAGGTCAGAAATAGTCCTTTCCACTGAGAAGGGGTGGGGATGAAAGCGGTCACAAGATTTACTGCTGTCGCCTCCTGTGACTTGGAGGTCTGAAAACATCGTACAAAGGGAGACAGGCTGAGAATTCATCCTTTTTGAGCTGAACTCAGTGGCTTGATAATATAGCATGACTCTGGCCTCAGCAGTGCTTACTTAGAGCTGTAAGTGCTTACAGCTGAGTGCACAGTCCTCATCTGAACAGACTTGGAAACAAAGACACAAAGAGAAATGTAGTACTTGGCCCCAGATCTCACAGGTAGAAGCTATTATCTATATATACTGTGGGCAAGCAGAGCTTTTGAGAAATTTAGCTGAGTTTGTGTTACTTTTTTTTCTGGTAGTATATTAAGGGAGTTTTGTGTTGAATTAAGTAGCATTTTTAACTACTGTTTCCTGGGGCGCCTGGGTGGCTTAGTCGGTTAAGCGTCTGACTTTCGCTTAGGTCATGATCTCGCGGTTCGTGGGTTCGAGCCCCGCATCGGGCTCTGTGCTGACTGCCAGCTCAGAGCCTGGAGCCTATTTCAGAGTCTGTGTCTCCCTCTCTCTCTGACCCTCCCCTGCTCACGCTGTCTCTCTCTCTCTCTCCTAGAAATAAATAAAAAACATTAAAAAAAACCCAACAAACTACCGTTTCCTGGGAGACATTGTCCCTGCTCCGGATAAGGCTGATGCAAATGCCGATGGGACAGGTGGGCCCAGGAACTAATAGGAAACTGTCTGCTTTTTGGTTTGTGGCCATAGCAACCATTCTCAGGAAGCCTGGTGTTCGCCTTTCTGCCTCTCCGAATCATGGTTTGCTCAACCCCTATGTTCCAGAAGAGCCGCTTCTTTCCCAATGGCTACACACCAGGCTGACCTCCAGCTGTGGACCCTGGTGTCCGGTCATGTTGGTTCACACTGCTTTCCTTCACCGATGCCATTCTTCTGACCATTAGGCTTTGCCTTGGCCCAGTTAGCTCACTTCCCACAGGTGATGACAACAGCCTATTGTGACCTGTTCTCTCCAGGGAACCTCGAGGGTGGGGCTCCCCTGGACACGTCTACCTTTGTACTCACCACGTCGCCTTGCACACAGTAGGCATTTAATGAGTGCTTGTAGGATGCGTCCATGAACAAGCTGAAGGTCTCAGCTCTGGACACATTCCAGCACTTTATGGTGGTTGTCTTGTCCTGTCATTGGTTCAGCTGGCTCTGGGGTGATGACATGATGCAGATACAGGATGTGACACATTTGGTAAATGAGGATGAAGGCACAGAGGGGGCACTCTAGTTTCCTGGTCATTGGTCTGGAGTCATCAAATCTGGTCAGAAACTCCCAGAGTCAGAATTCTTCTTGATTTGTTTTCTTTCTTTTTTTTATATTTTTATTTATTTCTAGGACAGAGAGAGAGAGACAGCGTGAGCAGGGGAGGGTCAGAGAGAGAGGGAGACACAGACTCTGAAACCGGCTCCAGGCTCTGAGCTGGCAGTCAGCACAGAGCCCAACGCGGGGTTCGAACCCACAAACCGCGAGATCATGACCTAAGCGAAAGTCAGACGCTTAACCGACTAAGCCACCCAGGCACCCCTGAATTCTTCTTGATTTGATTTCCACATTTCAGTTGAAGAGTACCTCACAGGTGGATCTTAAGGCTTTGCCTCAGTTTCTCCCTGAACCATGTATCTGTCTGTTTATTGGCATTCCGGAAACAGGAAGTGCTCCGTAAATCTCTCTGGAACTGAATGAATTGATTAGACATAACCTTGGCAGCCATTAGGTTTACAATATCGTCAGTACTTTGACAACTGTGTTAAGTAGTTTGGACTCGTGTGCATATCTTCTTCCATATGTGTTTGGGAGACACGGCTGTGAGCTAGAGCTTCTGGATCAGGCTCCCTAAAATGTTTGCAGATATTCATCGCCTGCCAAATTGGAAGACTTCTCAGACGATAGCCTCTGAGTCTCAATGCAAACTGATTTACAGATTCAATAGGATGGTACCTATCACCAAGGATGGGGAACCAGCTGGCCGGGGCCTGTCCCCCTGACCCAAGCTTCCACTCAGCCTTGTCTTCAGGATCTTCGAGAACATTCTACAGTGTCCACGTGCCCCTGTGGCTGGCGAGACTCAGCACTGGGTCCCGAAGAGGTTAGCTGCTGATCCAGACTCTGGTCCCGGTTCTGCCCTTTGTCACCTCTGGAGGTGGACCAACGACAGAACCCAGCTTCTCTACTTCCCAGGTTGCCGTGAAAACCAAAATAAAGATGGTAGCATGCGTGTAGGAGCTTAGAGTCCTGTGGGAAAGTAAGTCCGTGTTATGGTTAATGATGATGTTCAAAATTTTTTTTAGTTGCTGTGCCCCATAGATCAAGACTCTGGCTCAGGTGAAGACCTCGAGCTGCCTCGTCGTGATGCCCAGAGTTCTCCGCCGAGAGTGCGCTCAGAACGCAGCCAGGCCTTGCCGGTAACAACAGAGTGGACACATTCCTGTGTTCTCACAGCAGGTGGACGATGGCGGCCCGGCCTGTGCCAGGGACTGCGGGGGAAAGTGTGCGGAGCTGTGGCCTGGCTGGGGTCGAGCAGGAGCTGAGGCAAAGGTGTTCTGGGAAGATGGGCCGGGTCACGGAACCAAGGGCAGGCACTGCCTAGTGGCGCTGGGGATGAGGCTTGGGGACTCCAAGCATTCTGAGAAAACAGAGCAAGCTATTGTCTCCCTGTCGGGTCTGGAGTGCACTGAATGTACTGGCCGCACAGAGTACTGTGACCAATTCCAAGATCAACTGCAGATGTGAAGAGCAGGAAATCGTGCGTTTTGTCCCAAGTAAGGAAGGTGCCAGTAACATAGACTAAAGGTCCGTGTGAGAATTGGGCCCAATTTCCAACCCTTCACCTAACTGTACAAGTAAATTAAGAATTTTCTCTGCGGTGGGGCACCTGGTGGCTCAGTCAGTTAAGTGTCTGACTTCAGCTCAGGTCATGATCTCACAACCTGTGAGTTCAAGCCCCACATCGGGCTCTGTGCTGACAGTTCGGAGCCTGGAGCCTGCTTCGGATTCTGTCTGTGTCTCTCTCTGCCCTTCTCCCACTTGTGCGCTCGCTCTCTCTCAAAAATAAAGAAAAACATTTTAAAAATTAAAAAAAAAAAAAAGAAGTTTCCCATCAGAGCCAAGGCATACAGAGAGAGCAGGTTCTGGAAGTGATGCGGGTCCCATTCCTGGTTGGAGGAAGTTGCAGGGTGGAGCAGGGAAGGGTAGGTGGAGTGCCAGAATCTACGGGCCAGAATGTGAGCAAGTCATTTCTCCAACCTGCACCCCAAGACGTAGCTTCTTTCCTCACGGGTTGTTACAGGACACAGAGGACTAAGCGCCTTAATAGTGGGGCCACGGTAATTCTCCCCACGCGAATCTCGTTCTTGTGCCTAGAGCTTTCCCTGCCTTTCCGGAGATAGCCAGTTTGGTGTCAAATTAATCTTGACAGATTGTGCAGAAGGCCTGAGAAAGGCAGACATAAAAGGGTAAGAATAAGGGTACAAACTCAATACCGCGGCCAGAGAGGCGGCAGGGCTGCCGGGGGAGAGGCAAGAATTTCATACATACCAAGGACTTGAAGTCAGAAATAGAAGAGTCGGGGCATGATGTGAAGGAAAGGCGAGTCGAGGCAGGAGGAAGTGTGGGCCTGGCCTCTGACCACAGGCCGAGGCCCATTCAGGGGACTCATGGGCCCTCGGTGGACAAATAAGGGCCCACGTGCACGCCCGGTGCTCGAGAGGCCCTTCCTTCTCGGCTCACAGCCTTTCCTACTCCTGGCAGTCAACGACCAATCTGGTTCTGAGCTTGGCATTCAGAGCCTTGCCCTGGGGCCACAGCTGCCTCTCCAGCCTCTCCCCCCCCCCCCCATACAGGCTGAGCCCCCCACCAGGGCCTGTGCAACAATGCCCTCCACCCTCCCTCCCCTCCGCACTTGGAACATCACCCCCTGACCCCCACCCCGCCTGCAGCCCCAGCTCAGTCTCTCTGAGTGAACTCCTCATCTCCCAGGACCATCTCTGTCCACCTCTCTCCCTGACCCCAACCCCTGGACACGGCAGTCCTCTGCATTATTAAATTACAGGGGCTGGGTCCCCAGTCTGGGCGAACTCGTTCCTGAGCTCCATGGGGGACGTGTGCACCCCCAAGCGAGTAGCCCCTCGTCTACACCACTCGTGGGGCAGTTTGCCTGTGAACCGGGTAGTAATCCGGGTGCTGGAACACAGGTATGAAGGAACCGCATTTCAATTTCTTTCTCAAAAATTTCTGGTTCAAGCTTCCCTTACCCGGGGCGATGGAAACAACTGTCACCTTAGGGGACCCTCTCTCACCTCCGGGCACTGGGCAGGATGAGTTTCGCCAGGACGCCGGACGGTGTTGGTGTTTATTCAGGTGTCGGTGTTTATTCACAGGGAGAAGCTGACAAATATCCTAGAGCAAAGGTCAGTTCCTCCCCCTGGCTCTGACTTTGGACGGGGTGGGCGCACCGGGTCAGCCTGTGGTAGCGGCACCTAGAGCCTGGGGAAGGGAGGGTCCCAATGAGGTCCTCTCAGTTTACTTAAAACCCAGTGAAGTCTTTCCCCCAAACCTGCTTCCTCTCCTGACTTCTCACCTGCTGTCAAGACTGTTCTTCAAAATCCTGGAGTCCTCCTGACGCCTCTCTCTCCTTGTTCTAGAACAGTATGGAACTCCAGACGCATTTTGCCCCATCCTTCGTTTTACAGGTGAAGAGATCGTGACGGCTCCCCGCAAACCCAGAATGAGATCTCAGATCTGGGCTCAGCCCAGAGGCTTCCTGTCCTTCCCACAGTTTATGTGTCCTCGTCCCTTCTGTGGCCACCACCTGATTAAGCTCCCCTGACCTCCTACAGAGAGATGACAGTGGCAGCGGCCAATGCAGATGTGTGACACTGTGTCCACAGCATCCATGGAATGTCTTCTCTCCTTCCCAGCCCTCACATCCCATTCCTTTCTCAAGCTCAGCTCAAATGCCGCCTCTTCCTCGGAGCAGATGCTGGCCCGGCATGACCGCGTGCCCTCTAGCTGCACTCAGCTCTGCTAGTCCACGCGCCCCGGCCTGATGTGGCTGCGGGCAGGCTGCATCCGGATGCTGTTCACTTTTTTTGTTTTTATGCTTATTTATTTTTGAGAGAGAGAGAGAGAGACAAAGTACTCGCGAGGGAGGGACAGAGAGAGAGAGAGACACAGAATCCGAAGCAGGCTCCAGGCTCTGAGCTGTCAGCACTGAGCCTGGTGCAGGGTTTGAACTCACAAGATCATGACCTGAACCAAAGTTGGGCGTTTAACTGACTGAGCCCCCCAGGTGCCCCCGAACAAGGTGATACACACAGTCTTTAACTGAATAGCGCCTGGCCACAGGAAGTGCCTGCAAATACTGGCCGGTGTTCTGATGCAGTTATTCTAGTGTTAGAGGAATGGGCAGTAGATTCCGTTTGGCTCTGCAAGTGTAAGCAACTGTGCCTGCACACACCCGTCTGGTCTGGGGCCTCGGGAGGAAGGCACTGAAAGGTCTGGATTGTCCCGCAGCAGGATGACAGCTCTGTGGTTAACTGACCTGCACAGACCCACCTTGGCCCCTCCCCCAAGGGTATACCGGGGGCCTCACCTGCTCTGCACCCTGGCAGGGGCCTGTCATCGGCTGCTGACTCCACTCCCTGGCGTGTGGCCCTGGATCACCAGGGGACTCGACACCCCAGGGAGGCTGGTCCCTGCCCACTGGCTGATGGCTGGGAACAGGTGGGTCCCCAAGGCTGGGCCAGATCTATCTGTGGGGAGGCAAAGCAGATCCAAGCCGAGAGGCTGGAGGGGATCAGAGAAAACAGCCCCGTCTGGGCTCCGGCTAGGGCGGGCGCAGGGGTGAAGCAGAGCAAGGGGGCTTTGACTCCAAGCAAAATGGCCAGCTGAGAGGCTGGGAACGGAGGTGTGTTCAGATGGAGCTGAGGGCGCCTGGTGGGGTCACCAGCATGCTCGGGTCGCTTGGGCTTCTCTCCATGAAGGCTCGGGGGTCGGAGGAGCCCAGGACACAGGCACAGGCCAGTGGCTTGGGTGACCAAGCAAAGGGCATCTGTTCCTGTCCTGCTCACAGGGCAGCTGAGCCCTGGGCAGGCTCAGGGCCAGGTGCGCCTCTCTGGGCCGGGCTCTGCAGGGCGAGGCGTGGGAGCAAGGCTAGGGGTGGGGCGGTCAAGTCAGGACCGGCAGATATGTGTCGCTGCCCGTCCCCGGCCACACCAAGACTCTGGCACCTCCTTCCCCACCCATCCCTTCTTCTCCAGCTTCGGTCCTTTACGCTGAAGTGGCCTTTTAAAAATAGGTAAAGCACGTGGTACACAGTGGAAAGTTCCCGGTCCTACCCCGCCCCCACCCCCCTCCTAGAGACAACATCTGTGTCCTTACTGAGCTGGCACAGGCGTATGCAAGCGTAGAAGTCAACCTTCTCCCTTTCTGGCCTTTTTTTTAGTGGCAGAGATTCCTCTGAGAGTCTGAAGAAACTCGGGGTTCCTCACTAAACCAGGGTGCACACACGCACAAAAATTCAGTGTGCAATTCCAGGGGTTGATAACAGATTCCGTGGCCCTTTCGGTCCTACTCCGCAAGGGATTCTGGGTGGCCCTGTTACCCCGCATGCGCACTTGCGCTACCTGATGGCACCTTGACAAGATGTCGACAAAGGAGAGCTTCTGATGCCCTGAGAAGCATGTTAAGCAAAGTAAGCCATTCGGTGCCTTCTTCCAACAACTCCCTGTTGTACCAAGACCAAAATAAAATCTGAACTCTTAGACTGGCTTGGAAGGCCCCTCGTTCGTGGGGTCCCTGAGCGTCCCTCCAGGATGGCCACACCCACCATTCCGTTCCTTATGGGACTTGTCACACCCAGGTCTCACCTCAGGGTCTTTGCTTAAACCTCTCCCTCTGCCCGGGAACCATTTCAGGAAACCATTTCCCCTGAGGGCTACACTGCTGGTTAACTTAGGTGTCGGCTCAAACCTCATCCCTCCAAGAGGCCCCCCTCGCGGCACCCCTTCTCTAGGGCACCATCCATCGTCATTTTCCTCAGCGCTGACGGCTTCTTTAGCCATCTCCCGCATCCCCTCACTAGGATGTGAGCCCCTGGAAGCCAGTGGCCTTGCCGGTCCCACCACTAGCACCCAGAAGGGGGCACTCAGTAAATATCTCTGGGTTGAATTAAGTGTCTTGGCGGAGAGGTCAGACAGGAATCTTGCCTCCATTCTCCGTCTGTCAGAGTAGCCTCAGGCCATCCCGGCTCTGCTCTAGGCAGGGTCCTGCCTCTCCCTCATTTCTCTATTCCCAGATGTCCTACCCTTTTCCCAGATCTCTGGGGCCCCTCCTTCCCAATCAGCGTCTAACAAAAACTCTTTTGTGATTTTATGCCCCGGGGATTTAATCTGAGTCAATTTGGCATCTCCCGCCCTGGCTCTGCGGAGTCCAAAGGTCTGATCAGTGTTTCCAGCGGACCAGCCAGCAGCTATGTCGTCCGAGGGCTCAGAGCTCCATGCTCCGCTCCCTGGGCTGCCGTTCCTGGGCCTTGTGGAAATAAACGAAGACCCAGCAAGTGACAAAAAGCAAAGGCTATTGATTCAGAGCTTGCTGCAGCGCGGGAGTCAGTCAGCCTTGGTCGCTTGCATTTTAAGAGAGACTCAGGCCTGGTGAAGGGGTGGGGACACTTTATTTGTAGCAGAGAAGCGGGGAAGATTCAGGTGCCTGGTGCCTCCTCTGGAGGCCGTTGGCGTGGGGAAGCCGGAAGGCAGGTGCCTAGAAGCCGGGCATCCTGTATGATTGGCTGGGGGCGCATATTCGACTTTCTCTGGCTGCTCCTAAGTCACAAAGTGGACAAAACTTAGGGGAGTTGTCAGTTTTGGCCATTTGGAGCCAACTGTTCCAGACGTTAGCGGTTAGCTTTCTGATTCGTTCCTACAGATAGCCTGACTTGTTGCAAATGGGACCTATGGATTACCTGGGTTTATCGTAGATGAGGAGTTGATTTCCTGGGCAGGTGTCTGCAGGGTGTGGGTGCCCGAGTTCTGGTTTTCCATGTGGTCTGGCCATGTGTGTTCAGGAGTCTTTCGGGGACTCCTCCCTCCTTCACTTGAACATGTGAACATCCTGGGCCAGTAGAATCATCAAGTCTTTGATCTCCATTCTGCAGCTGTCCGGTGAGGGCCTTCGCTGTGCAAAGAATGGAGAGAGGTGCAGTGAGAGGGGCAGGAAGGCCTGGCGGCAGCACGCCACACAATTGGTTCAATGCTGGGAGTCTGAGTTGGGAAGGCCTGAGATGGTGTGGGGTTTCAGGAGTGGGATTGCTATCGGTGGAACGGGGGGAGAGACGGGGAGACACTCTTAGAGGGGAATACGATGAGGCAGGGGGGCAGGTGGAAGGGCGGTTAGGTTAGTCTCTCATCAGAATGAGGAGATTGAATGTACCTAGACAGCAATGATAATAATGGGAACAGCAGGGTTCCTGGCTGGCTCCGTCGTAGTGCACGTGACTCTTAACCTCTGGGTCGTGAGTTCAAGCACCACGCTGGGCTCAAAGCCTGCCTAAAAAGTTAAACAAGCAACCAAGCACTCCCTGAGTAGGAGGCACTGCTCCAAGCCTGCCTGGAGCCCCTGTGACATTCCTATGAGCTGGTTAGTATCATCATCTCCATACTACAGGTGAGACAGGCGGCACAGAGCAGTTAGGGAGCCTGCCCCATGTTACACAGTGTCTGAGGGGAGAGAATGCTTTGCACCAGATGGCGGCAGCTGTGTGCCCTTGAACGCCGCCTCCAGGGCCAGGTCTTAGTCCTCGGATGCGTGTTAGGATGCAGCATTAACAATTAGCTCTAATAAAAATCAGCTCTAAGTGCCCTGAGGGAAGGCGCTGTGATTACCAGTTCCAGCTCATGGAGGGGGAAACTGGGGAGCCGAGTGGCACAGCCCGGGCCTCTGACTCTCGAGTCTGCACACCTGCCACCGTGCCCACCGCCTCTCCTCTGTAAGCAAGGGATACACCTACTCATCAGTCAAGCCCTGAGCCACACCGTGGCCGAGACTGGCAGCCAACTCCAGGCAGCCAACCCCAGGCAGTGGCTCTCACCTTTCTCCACCATGGACCCCTTTGCCACTCTCCCCAGAAAAATGCATGCGAGCCCACACGCCCCTTAAGAAATTCACAGATGCCCCCCTCAAGCCCTTGCACGGCAAGTGGGTGATGGGGAAAGACCTTGGGTGGGTGTTGCAGCCACGGTAATATTCTCCAGTCTGGAACAAAAGGGCATGGCTTTGAATTTTAAGAGATTTACTTCACTTCATTGAGAGGGTGGAAGTAGGGGCGCCTGGGTGGCGAAGTCCATCAAGCACTCTTGATTTTGGTTCAGGTCATGATCTCACAGGTGGTGAGATTGACACCCGCACTGGGATTCTCTCTCTCTCTCTCTCCCTCTGCCCCTCCTCTATTCACACGCATGCATGCTCTCTCTCTCAAAATAAATAAACATAAAAATAAAATTAAAAATAAAATTCCAAGGGCGCCTGGGTGGCGCAGAGCCTGCTTGGGAGTCTGTCTCCCCTTCTCTCTGCCCCTCCCCGACTTGTGCTCTCTTTCTCTCCCTCTCAAAATAAATAAACTTACAAAATAAGAAAGTAAATAAATAAAATTCCATAGCTACTTTTATTTACTTCACTAGAGAACAGAACAGAAAGCAGTCTGTGCCGCGAGTCCCCATCTTTGGATCAGTCTGATTACCCACTTCACTCACACATCTAGCCGGCAGAACACTGCTGGAAGGAATCTCAGAATTCTGCTGGTCAATGCCAATGCACATTTATGGGGTCGAATCCCAGCGGGGTCTTTACCGCTACTTGGCAGCTCTCACTCATACCAGATAAACACTCACACCCTTTCTCACGATGACCACTCCAACCCTTCTGCAATGACTCTTTGAGCTTTAACAGTTTTCATGTGTTAGAAGAAGCATAATTGCACACATTGTAATTCATATTGTCCAGGATTTTCATCCCGTTTATCCAAGTACTTGGGCTCTTGACCCTTCATTTGTTTATTTGGATGATTATTTATTTAGAGGCTACCATGGCTGGCATTGGGCTGGGGTCTTGGACCCCGACTGTGGTCTCTGTTCCCATGGACTTAACAGCCCAGAGAGAAAGACTATCATTCTACAAATAACTGCAACCACGATGAGGGCCCATAAGTGCGCGGATGAGGGGATTTCAGGAAGACCTCCCTGAGGCAGTGGCCTTTTGAGTGGAGTCTTTGAAGGATGATATGTCGGTTTGGAATGCTTTGGGCTGCACACAACAGAAAATCTGACCCACAGTGAAACCATAAGGATGTTTATTATTTCCTTAAGAAGTCTAGAAGCAAAGTAGCGCCTGGGTGGTTCAGTGGTTAAGCATCCGACTTCGGCTCAGGTCATGATCTCTCTGTTCTTGGGATCGAGCCCCGCGTCAGGCTCTGTGCTGACAGCTCAGAGCCTGGAGCCTGCGTTGGATTCTGTGTCTCCCCTTCTCTCTGCCCTTCCCCCGTTCACTTTCTGTCTCTCAAAAAATAAATAAAGGTTAAAAAAATTTTTTTTTTAAAACAGGAGAAAGGGCTCTGCTTCCCAAGCAGTGCTTTCAGAAGGGCACAAGAAATTCATTCACAAATTCCCAGGAGTTTTACTCTTGTGTTTTTTTCTCCCAAAAATGGGCCTTATGTCCACCTTGGGTATAGAGAAAGAGGGTTACCATGACTGACTTAGACCAACCAAACTTGATCCCAGAGACAGTGAGGATCCTACCTTTTCTGAAGATACTGCTGCTTACTGGACCCCTCAAATGAGGATTAAAGGGTTTACCAATTCCGGATATGGACACCTGAAGACTTCAAATAAAATTAACCTTCATACCAATAACACTTAAACTTTAAAAAGTTATCTTAAAAGCCTCAGTGGGGCATCAGCTGGTTAAGCGTTGACTCTTGGTTTCAGCTCAGGTCACGATCTCATGGTTCGTGAGTTCAGACCTGCGTCTGGGCTCTGGGCTGACAATGCAGAGCCTGCTTGGGATTCTCTCTCCTCCTCTGCCTCTCCCCTGCTTGCTCTTGCTCTCAAAATAAATAAACTTTTAAAAAAAGCATCAGAGAAGTAACAAGATTTGAGGACTTGCTGAATTGAGATGCAGAAATACTGAAGAGGGCAAAGTGAAGTGAAGTCTCTCCTCTGAAGGCTGCCTATGCCCTGGGGCTTTGTTCTGGAAAAGACTGAACTGCAACTGCAGCCACAGGGAGGGGCCAGAGTGAAAATTTCAAAGTCACATGGTTCTGGGTTGCTAGTGCCCTCAGGCGCTGGTAAATCATAACTTCTCTTTAGAGGAAGACCATATTATCTTGAGCCTCAAGGTATTTCTATAAATAATTTTCAAAAACAATGGCCAGTACACAAAGATAACCCCAGGATATCAGACACCGCGAGTAAGAACAGCAGGTACAATAGGTCATAAAGTGGGCTCATAGGGTCTCCTTCTCCTTGAAATGAACAGCACACATTACAAAGCCAAGAATGGAAAAGTTGGCTGGGAAAAGAAAACTTAAAAAAAAATGATATTACAAACGTTAAACAGGGGGGAAAATGTAAATTCTGGAACTTAAAACTACAATAACCAAATATGAGAACTGAAACAGTTTTATCAGCAGATTAGAAATAGTAAAGGAGGGGCGCCTGGGTGGCTCAGTTGGTTAAGTGTCAACTTAGGCTTAGGTCCCGATCTGGCGGTCTGTGGGTACGAGCCCCGCGTCGAGCCTAGGGTCGAGCTATGTGCTGACAGCTTGGAGCCTGGAGCCTGCTTTGGATTCTGCCTCCCTTTCTCTGCCCACCCCCTACTCATTCTGGTCTGTTTCTGTCTCAATAAGAAATAAACATAAACAAGTTTGTTTTTTTTTTTAAAGAACTAGTAAAGGAAAAACTAATGAACTGGAATATAGGTCAGAAGAAAATACCCAAAATGATGCATAATGGGGAAAAAAGAAAGAAAATGCAAGAGGTGGGGACGAGACATGGATATCACAATGAAAAGGTCAAAGCAGAGTCCAGAAGGAAAGAATGGACATAGGCAATATTTGGCGAAACAATGGCTCAAAAATGTCTACACATTAAATCATACATTTAAGAATCCAACAAATCCTAAGTGGGATAAATAAAAAAAAAATTCACAGTCTTATACATTAGTGACACTACAGAAAACCAGATACAAGGAGAAAACAGTAAAAGCGGTCAGAATAAAACAGACAAATTACCTTTAAAGGCCACAAGAGGGACACCTGGGTGGCTCGGTAGGTTAAGTGTCCAACTTCAGCTCAAGTCGTGATCTCATGGTTTGTGAGTGTGAGCGCTGTGTTGGGCTCTGGGCTGACAGTGTGAAGCCTGCTTTGGATTTTCTCTCTCTTCCTCTCTCCCTGCCCCTCCCCTGCTTGCTCTCTCTTTCAAAAATAAACAGTTAAAAAATTAAAAGCCACAACATTCAGAGGATCCACACTTCCGGATTTCAAAGCTTACTACAAAGCTACAGGAATCAAGACCGTGTGGTGGTGGCATAAGGGGACAGACAGGTCAGTCAAATAGAATTCAGAGTCCAGAATAAATCCTCACATTTATGGTCAATTGATTTTCAACATGGTGCTAAAAATCCAATAGGGACAAAACAGTCTTTTCAATAAACAATTCTGGGGCACTTGTATACCCATGCGGATATCCATTTGTACATACAAATGAATAAAAGTGGACCACCTACCTCATGTGATATAAAAAAATTAGCTCTAAAGGGGACAAAGACTTAAAAATATAAAAGGCTTAGAAGAAAACAAACCTAGGAGTAAATCTTTGTGGCCTCAGGTCAGGCAACAGTTTTCTAGATATAACACCAAAAGCATAAACAACTGAAGAAAAAACAGATTAGACTATATGAAATTTAAAACTTTTGTGCTTCAGAGGATACCATCAAGAAAGTAAAAACACAAGGGCACCTGGCTGGCTCAGTTAGTAGAACATGCAACTCTTGGTCTTGGGGCCATGAGCTCGAGCCCCACATTGGGAGTAGAGTTTATTTAAACAAAAATGTAAAAAGACAATCCAATCCACACAGTGGGAGGAAATATTGGCAAATCATATATATAACAAAGGACTTTTAACGAGAATCTATAAAGAGCTCTTACAATTTAGTAGTAAAAAGTCAACCAGTTAAGTAATGGTGAAAGGATTTGAATAGACATTAATCCAAAGAAGACATCCAGGGGCGTCTGTGTGGCTCAGTGGGTTGAGTGTCTGACTCTTGATTTCAGCTCAGGTCTCATGTGAGATTGAGTCCTGCATCGGGGCTCATGGAGTGGAGTCTGCTCAGGATTCTCTCTCTCCCTCTCTCTCTTCTCCTCCCCTGCTGTGCTCTCACTCTCTCTCAAAATAAATAAATAAACATTAAAACAATGAAAACAGAAAACAAGACATACAAATGGCCAATAAGTACATGGAAAAATGCCAACATCATTAGCCAGTAGAGAAATGCAAATTAAAACCACAATGAAAAGCACTTCATCTGGCACCCACCAGAATGCTAAAATAAAAAAGAAAGTTAGTAGCGAGGGTTGATGAGGATGTGGAAAATCTGGAACCCTCACATATTGCTGCTGGGAATGTAAAACAGTGCAGCCACTTTGGAAAAAACAATTTGGCAGTTCCTCAAAGGTTAAACATAGGATCACCATGTGACCCCAAAATTCTAGGTATGTACCCCTAGGTATGTACCCAAGAGATATGATAACATTTGTTCCCATAAAAACTTGTACATGAATATTCATGTTAGAACTAATAATAGAAAAAAATGAGACAACTGAAATGCCATCAGCCAGTGAGTGGATGAAATGTGTCATACCCACACAATGGAGTATCACTCAGCCATAAAAAGTAAGTACTGATATATGCTATGATATGGATGGACCTTGAAAATATGCGAAGTAGGGGTGCCTGGGTGCCTCAGTCAGTTAAGCATCTGACTTCAGCTGAGGTCATGATCTCACGGTTCATGGGTTTGAGCCCCACGTCGGGCTCTGTGCTGACAGCCAGCTCAAAGCCTGGAGCCTGTTTCGGATTCTGTGTCTCCCTGTCTCTCTGACCCTCCACCACTCATGCTCTGTCTCTCTCTCTCTCAGAAATAAAACATTAAAAAAAAGGAAAAAAAGAAAATATGCAAAGTAAAAGGAGGTAGACATAAAAGGGCACATATTGAATGATTCCTTTTATATGGAATTTAGGAAAAAATCTATAAGGACAGAAAGCAAATGAGTGGTCACCTAGGGCTGGCAGGCAGGGGCTGGGGAGTGGATGGGAGGAATGAGGGTGACATATAAATGATAAAGTGTCTGTTTCTGGGGTGATAAAAGTGTTCTAAAATTTGTGGCAATGGCTGCACAACTTTTGTGAATATACTAAAAACCCACTTAATTGTATACTTTATTTATTTATTTATTTATTTATACTTTTTTTTTTTTAAATTTTAAAGTAAGCTCTACATTTAATGTGGGGCTAGAACTTACAACCCTGAGATCAAGAGCTGCATGTTCTACTCAATGAGCCAGTCAGTCACTCCTAGTTGTATGCTTTAAATGAGTAAGTTATATGGTAAGTGAATTACATCCCAATGAAGCTGTAAGAAGAAAGAAAAGAAAAGAAAGAAAAGAAAAGAAAAGAAAAGGAAAGGAAAGGAAAGGAAAGGAAAGGAAAGGAAAGGAAAGGAAAGGAAAGGAAAGAGAGGGTGGGAGGAAGGAAGGAAGGAAGGAAGGAAGGAAGGAAGGAAGGAAGGAAGGAAGGAAGGAAGGAAGGGGGAAGGGAAAGAGAGAAGAAAGAAAAGAAAAGAAAAAAGAAAAGGAAAGAAAGAGAGAGAGAGAGAGAGAGAGAAAGAAAGAAAGAAAGAAAGAAAGAAAGAAAGAAAGAAAGAGAAAGAAAGAAAGAAAGAAAGAAAGAAAGAAAGAAAGAAAGAAAGAAAGAAAGAAAGAAAGAAAAAAGGAAGGAAAGGAAAGGAAAGGAAAGGAAAGGAAAGGAAAGGAAAGGAAAGGAAGGGAAAGGAAACATAACGAAAAAGTATGGAAACTACTCAGTCGGTTAAGCATCCGACTCTTGATTTCAGCTCAGGTCATGATCTCATGGTTTGTGAGATCAAGCCCCATGTAAGGCTCTGCACTGACAGCACGGAGCCTGCTTGGGATTCTCTGTCTCCCTCTCTCTATGCTCCTCCCTCTCTCTCTCAAAACAAACAAACAAACTTAAAAAAAGACAATGATTGTCTGACTGGATTATTTAAAAATATTTTTAATGGTTTATTTATTTTTGAGAGAGAGAGAATGAGAGCAAGCAGGGAGGAGCAGGGGGAGAGGGAGACACAGAATCCAAAGCAGCCTCCAGGCTCTAGCCTGTCCATATGGGGCTCAAAGCCACGAACTGCGAGATCATGAACTGAGCCGAAGTCAGATGCTCAATGGACTGAACCACCCTGGCGCCCCAGGAATTTTTTTTTTTAGATCAAACTATTATGCTTTTTACTAAAGATAAAGAAAGATACTTATAATTATAAAAAGGTTCAATGGTTTAAAAAAAAAAGGTTCAAGAGTTCAATTCACCAGGAAATTATAATGTAAATATAATATATATATAGATTTGAATAATACAATTAACTATCTGTACCAAATAAACATATAGAATACTATATCTGAAAAACTGCAAAATACATGTTCTTTTCAAACATGCACATAGTATTTATTGACCATCCACTAAGCCATAAAACCTAGTTTCAACAAATCCAAAGGGTTAAACTCATTCAGAGTTTATTCTTTA